GGATTGTAATTTTTTACTGATTGTGGAGCAGCAGGTGACTTCACCAAGTCTTCGTGTATCTCGAAATATGGAAAAGGTGCAGAAATCTATTTCCCTAGCCATAGAGGAGGGAAAATATTCACTGAACCATCCGCTGCTCACATTTCTAAAGTCCTGGTTTTTTAAATGACAGTTAACTCTGGTTGTGCTTAACTGTCACTCCTGGTGGCAGCTCCCAGACGCTGATGAATCGTGCAGTGTGTGGGAGAGAATGAAATCGCTGTAATGCCTCAAGTGACATAGGAAACATAAGCACCTGGGTGAGGTGTCTGTCCCTGTGCTTGCTTAGGTCGATCCTGGGACGGATCTGGAGCCGGGCGTGCTGATGAGCGCACAGACGATCACGTCCGAAACCACCAGCACCACCACCACCACCCACATCACCAAAGTAAGTGGGGCGGGAAGCCAGAGGGGTTCCTTGAGAGCTGGAGAAAGGCGCGCGTTCAGGGCTTGGTACAGGGCGGGCTGCACGAGCACATGGTGGCTCAACGATCAGGATGCCAGCAACGCTGCAAGAAAAGGTTTTATGACTTCCGTGTTTATGATGCACTTGTCCTTATGTGCGAGTTTCTGTCTGGGAACGTACATTCTGATCTCCTGTGCTTAACACCTTTGCTAGCACTTGGCATGCGGTAGGTGTTCCAGAAGCACTGGCCATCCAAACCCAAAGGACTCCACTCTCATCACTTCTGAAATTAAAAATGTTAAATAACTGCAGAATGTCAAATAGCTGCAGAATTCTACTGCCAGTTCTTAAACAATGAATGATATTAACACTCTGTCACCATTTTCTTCTACTTCCCCCCATCACACAATGATTGTTTCTCCTGGTGAGTAAGTTCATAAAGCTTTTCTTTGTTGCTTTCAGACTGTGAAAGGAGGCATTTCTGAGACAAGAATTGAAAAGCGAATAGTCATCACGGGAGATGCAGACATTGACCATGACCAGGTAGTATGTGTGAGACAATGAATACCCGGGCAGAGAAACAAACAAAAACCTATGAGCCCTCTGATTCCCAGTACAATTCTTCTAGTCCAGCATGTATTCTAAAAAATGTTGTGAATTAACTTTTCAATATATGATTTACAATCCCTTTTGTAATCATCGTTGCTCATTTGTAAATTGTGAATATGGATCTAGCTTGTAAGTCTCCACCTTGCTACTGATCATGCATGTTCCACCTCCTTTTTGTTTTCGCCCTTCTGTGATTTCCTGGGGATAGGCGCTGGCTCAGGCAATTAAAGAGGCCAAAGAGCAGCACCCTGACATGTCAGTGACCAAAGTAGTGGTCCATAAAGAGACAGAGATCACACCAGAAGACGGAGAGGATTGACCAGAGGTAAGAGGGGCACCGATTCTCCAGGCTTGCCTAGGCTGGCATGTGGCACGGGGCACTTCCCTCTCACCCTTCGCCTGACCCCTCCTCTCCTTTTTGCTCTCACTGGCATTTGTCGGGCCGGTTACCAAGAGGATGGAGAATTGGTTTGCAGGTGCCGTTTGTCTCACATTTGGAGGTTCCATACTAGTGGGGTTTTTGCACGTACTGCCAGTTAGAGGACAAAGGAAAAGCAGTCTTTGCTCCAGTGGTCTCATGGGGTGTTCCCTCTTAATCCATGCCCTGCACTCATTTCGTTATCCAAATTTGAAATGTCAAGTTTGATTTCACTTGCCATGTGGCCGAATCAGAACTGAACCAACTTTGTTCTGAGAGGTTCGATTTGTGTGTTCCGAATACTAGGGAAATAACATATACCCCTTTCTCATTTTGATGGCAACGCTATTCCATTGTAAGCTTTCTTTTCAACTATGTTTAGTTATAACTGGTTTATGCTTTGGTGTTTTGTTTTTTAATTTGAAACGTGAGCACGCACTTGCTTTTGGGTGTCTTATATTTCCTGCATTTTTCGGGATGATTTTTCCCCCTGATGTAGCATTGTGTCTCAGGAGGAGGCAAAAATGCAGTCTTGTGGTCCTGCAGGCCGCGCCTACCTTTGCAGCAGTGGCCAGTGTCACGAGCAGACCGTGTTGTCTATGTGTGCACAGACTTGTCATGCGTACTGACCTGCCATGCAAGAACTCATGGGGCCATGCGCATTTCTGAGAGGGCTTTGAATGCTGAACGCAACAGTTGAGCTACTCGCACACTTGGTGGTGCGATAAAACGTTTAAGAGACTTAATAAGTAAGTTCTCTAACACTAGTTTAAGAAACATAGATTGATGAGTGGCATATCTTAAAAAAGAAATATAAAAGTCACTCATGATATTCAAATTAATATGTTTTGGAAGATAGCAAAAAAAGAAAAACGATTCTCTTCAGTGAACTTCAGTCACTTGAGTGATATTATAAATTACTTAAGCCTGGTTGGTATCTTGTCAAAAAGAGCATTCTAAACCTCCAAGATACTTTTTTTGTGACTTGGATCTGAGAAAAATTTTCAGATGTTTTTCAATGGGTAACGAATCAAATCTGTTTTCTACAGGAATAACTTAGTTTGCACACGAATCCGGTCATGCAAACCATTAGGAAAACCAGAGCCTATATGGAGTTACCTCTTCTAAACCAACTGACTTGTATCTGTCTGTGGAAAATTTCAATCCAGAAGAATTGACCTTGACCATCAATAAAGACACTGGCAGAGAGATCTTCCCATAATAAAGCAATCTGAATCAGCATCACTAAACTGATATTGCATGAAGCAACGATAAAATTACAAAAGAGCAGCATTTTTAATTTTCACAAAATGTCTAAGTTTTCAGCTATACCTGCACGTTCATAACCAACAATAGAAACCGTGATCTCATGTAACACGTAAACAATTCATGCCTTTCATAGTTTGTTATTATTAAAGTCTTAAACAAAATTGCAGTTTCTTAGATGACAGATCTTTTGTTTACAGATAAATGAAGATTACCCTAAAATACTAGAAGCTGTCTAGGTCTGGTGTGTCAAATTTATCCCAGATTAGATGTGCCAATAACCGAGTTTATTCAGTAAACAACTTGAATCTTGTACTTGTTTCATCCATTTTTATTACTCTCATCCGTAAACAGTAATGACTCTCTATCCCTCTGGAAATATTTAACG